GGTGTAGAGGAGGCAAATTGGAGTACTTGCGGTAGGTGGCAGGATCGGACTCTGCGCACAGGGGGCGAGCGGGTTTGCTAAAAAATGTTAAATTAGACTTAGAACACTAAAACTTCGTAGGAGTAAAGGAGGCAGGATGAGAACACTGTTGATTGGTGACAGAACTAGACTCCGCCCACAGGAGACAGGGCTTGCTCAATAAATGTCAAATTGGTCCTAGAGCGCAAAAATTTGATAGGAGCACAGGGGGTTAGATTTGAACACTAATAACAGGTGACAGGATCAGACTCCTCCTACAAGGGGCGTGGCGCGAGCGAAAATACTTCACTCGGATCAGCTTCAATGATCGTGACTTCTAAATATAGGCATAAGCTTTGGCACAGACTGAGTATCATTTGCATGCCCTATCGCTCCTCTAACAAGCTTCGTGTTCCGAAAATTAAAATTAGTTCCAAATAGGCAGCGCGAGGTTTGTCGACTATTACAGCTCGATCATAAGAAGGAGGAAAGCTCGGAGTCAGCCGGGCCACCTGACTTGTTGCACATATGTAGAGAGAAGCTTTAGTGTATTCTGCCTAAGACAATACATATAGAAGTCCTAAACGACGGTATCAACATTTCTGACTTTGCTTCCAGTTGATGAAGACATTCCGAGTGGATTCGTTAAGCAGCAACTATCGAGCCCCATATGAGCTTTTGGTACCTATCCAGATTGGACCTCTTGGATATGCTACGTATATTGTCGATAACTCAACGTCAAAGTGAGTTCTATTGGTAAACCATCTCGAATATACTTAAATTTGAGCTTACTTCTAAGGCAAACCAAGACACTGTTTTCACAATGTTCCCTGATCCTGTCACGCTATTCACTCCGATTTTTTCCCAGTAAAACGAACCAAGTATGTGGGTACTATGTGTTCTCAAGTCATCACCTTATTGCAAAAAGAAAATGGATAGCGATATGAGTGATCTTGTCTCACCTATCATTCTATTAATCTACAGGAGACATCAAAACTTCTTCAACCTATGGAACATCACTTACGCGTACATGCGTCATTGCTTGTATTTATATTTAAATTTAAACGATTGTGGAGTATCTAAAGTCTGAAGTTTACTGAAGTACCAGTGTATCAGACGTACGAAGAACGCATTCGAATTTGATACGCTTGTACGTATGTAGGATGACCTTGTCATGCAGGGCTGCACTGTATCAATTTGGGACCTTAATGAAGGATTGTAAGATTGTAATCAAGTTCTATATTCGCCTCGGATACTAGAATTCCTTCCCTCATGGTAGCAACGTTCAAATGGATTTTTGGCTCACACGAATGTGATGGAGCTAGTCAACAATCGAGTTTATTTCAGTTTAACGGTTCAGTGTTGATATTGACCGACCGGTTCAACACGTTGTACGTGTGAGTGCTGATGAGCTATGACATATAAGCCATTAAGAAGGCGATGGCAAGCGGGGTCTTGGTAGTGTAAGGGATAAGAGCATGGTCCCCGGAAAGGACAAATGCTTGTTCGAGTCCCGCCCGAAACTGTAGTTTTGTCTATGGATAGCCAACCTTGTGAGACTTTTGGAGCGCGTACTGCGGCGTCACAACAGCAGTTAAAGGCACAGTTCACGATAATTTTGGGTAATCCAGATTATGATGAAAAATGGAAGACAAGATCGAACTAGTGCGACTGAGGTGAAGAAACTGCGTGCATCGGTGTTTCCAACAAGAAAAAAT